GCAGCTTCTAGACCTCAGACCCCAGGAGCTCTGGCAAGGAAAAAGCCTTTCAGATTTGGGATGTGAGTTTGAATCCTATCAGAGTCGGTTCACTCTGAGGAGGCAGTAGTGATCCACGTGGTTAAGAACACAGGCTTTAAGGTCCAACAGGCAGAGAGAGGGATGTGGGCCAGCGAACCTGCATGCATCCAACAGCTTCTTTGTGCCTCAGTTTACTCACCTGTAACATAGGAACAATAACCCTCCTCGCAGACTCCGTTTCAGTATCAAATGGGATAATAAACAATGAGCACTCGGGGCGCCTGGGTGGCGCAGTCGGTTAAGCGTCCGACTTCAGCCAGGTCACGATCTCACGGTCCGTGAGTTCGAGCCCCGCGTCAGGCTCTGGGCTGATGGCTCGGAGCCTGGAGCCTATTTCTGATTCTGTGTCTCCCTCTCTCTCTGTCCCTCCCCCGTTCATGCTCTGTCTCTCTCTGTCCCAAAAATAAATAAAAACGTTGAAAAAGAAGAAAAAGAAAAAAAAAATTTAAACAATGAGCACTCAATGCTGCATAGTCAGTTTCCAGAAAGTGATAGTTGTTACAGTTACATTATCATTTTCATCGGTTCGTGCTCTCTCGCTAGGATACGGAGAAGGAAAAAAAAACACACAGGTTTTTGGAAGGCATCCTTGCGCCTGTGAGTGGCTACAAATGATGGAAGGAACCCAAAGAGGCCTAAGCAAAAGGGGAGTTCATGGTGAATCCCAAGGTCACGTGCTCAGCAGGACCGGAAGTACAGCCAGAATCAGGAACTCAGATCCCGTGAGGGTTCTTCCTCCGTTTCTTAGTTTGTCCGGCTGCCGTAACAAAATGCCACAGACGGGGGAGCTTATAAACAACAGAAATGTGTCCCTCGCGTTTTCAGAGGCTGCAAGTCCAAGTTCGTGGCAGTCCAGCATGGTCCGGTGAGGGCCCGCTTCGAGGTCTCGGGCTTTTTGCTGTATCTTCAGGTGGGGCCAGGGAGCCCTGTTGGGTCTCTTGCCTAAGACGCCAATCCCACTGGCGAGGACAGAGCTCCGGCCCTGGCGGGGACAAGCGCCATGCTCAGAACCGTCGGCCGCGGTCGGGAGACACCCGGGTCCAGGAGGCTGAGCAGAATTAGTGATTTCAGGATTCTGTTTCCTTCCTTGGGTCTCGTTTAGTTCTCCTGGAGTTTCTAAGAGCTTCTCATCCTAATGGCCACACAAAACAACCTGGAAGAATCTTGGAAATATGTTTCCTGAAAAACGTAACTCCCAGAAGTCTATGCTATAAATAGGATCCCAGTTCTAGAGAGTTCCTAAACAAGCCCAACTAAACTCAACGTTGTTTAAGTATACACACTACTATGATGGCATGGTACGTTGTAAAAATCAGGGGCGCCTGGGTGGCTCAGTCAGTTGAGCATCAGACTCTTGATTTCGGCTCAGGTCATGATCTCATGGTTCACGGGATCGAGCCCGGCCTGTCAGCATGGAGCCTGCTTGGGATCCTCTGTCTCCATCTCTCTCTGGCCCTCCTCTGCTTGTGCTCTTTCTCAAAAATAAATAAATATAAATAAATATCAGCAGAGGGATGCCTGGCTGACTCAATCAGAGGAGCGTGCCACGCTTGATCTCAGGGTCGTGAGTTCGAGCCCCACGTTGGGTACAGAGATTACTTAAAATAAATAAATAAAATTTGGAAAAAAACAAAAACAAAAATGAAAATCAGTAGAATGATAAACACAAAATACAGAGTAGTGATTATTTCCCGGGAAAGGCAGGAAAATGGGGCAGAGAGGATTACACCGGGCACACAGGTTATTAGCAATAGGTTATTCATTCCGGTGCTCGGTGCACAGGCATTTATTATATTATAATAACTTATAACCAACATATATGTCATATAATCCTGTGAATGTATCAGATGCTGTTTTTCAAAAGGTAATTAAAAATAGCTTAACAGTGGGGAGCCTGGATGGCTCAGTCAGGCTTGATTAGACTCGTGATTTCGGCTCAGGTCATGGACTGGGGGTTCGTGGGATCGAGCCCCGGATCCAGCTCAGCACTGATAGCTTGGAGCCTGCTTGGGATTCTGTCTCTCTGCCCCTCTACCACTCATGCTCTCTCTCTCTCTCTCTCTCAAAATAAATACATAAACTTAAAAAATAGTTTAAGAAAGGAAATGCAATCCTAGTGATTATAGGTCTGCAGGGAAATCTATGTATAAAGTCACAATATATAAGGTAAACACTATTAGTTAGAGTTTCAACTTTCAGACTCAACAGACAGACAAAGCACGGAAGACTTAACTATGGCTACAGAAGTAAACATAGCCGTTATCAGCCTCGATGTGGTCCAAGTAAAAACTCAGAAGAGGTAAACTGGAAGGGGGCGAGGAGAAGAGAGCTGAAGGGAAGGGTGGGGGACCTGACAGCAGGGTCTCCGCAGAAAGTTGGGGAGGGTGAGCACTGCACAAGAGCGCACAGCGGAAGGGGTGGGTGAGAACTGAGGTCCAGTCTGCATTCTGCTCAATGAGCGATGCCCCTCCAAGGGGGCTGCATTGACCAGGAGGAAGAGGTACTTTGTTCTCTGTCTCCTAAAGGGGCTCCTCCCCCCAAGACAACCGCCCCAGCATCTGTTCAGAGGGGCTGCCTTTTGACCACAAGGTTCGAGGCACAAAGGTGCCTGGCAGAATCGCAGTCCTGGCCAACCAGCTGCTGGTGTATCAGCGACAGCTCTCCGGTCGCGAGCACGAACCCAGACTGGCTGAGCTGGGCAAGAAGGAATGCCTCGGGGCAATACTGGGTGAACACAGACGCAGAGAGGAAGCTGAACGTCCAGGCGAGTCTCGACGGGAGCCAGGGAACGTGGCCCTCTGCGCACTGCTTCCCCTCAGGTGACCCCACTCACCCCCACCCTTGCCCGTTCCTGATCGGGATTCCGAATCTCAGAGTCTGACTGGCCTCGACTGGGGCACGTCTCCACCTCTGGAGGTGGGAAGGCGGATGCCCGGACCGACAGACCACCAGAGCCACACGGACTTGGGGAGCGACAGTCCCCCAAAAGAAAGGAAGCCGAGCAGTCAAAAAAATAATGGTAACATGGTGCTGCTGGGCACCCCCAGTTTGCCAGCCGTTTCTCTGTTTGTTTTAATGCTTGTTTATTTTTGAGAGCGAGAATCCGAAGCAGGCTCCAAGATAATCAGCGCAGAGCCCAATGCG